AGACAGACAGACAGACAGACAGACAAACAGCCAGACAGACAGACAGATAGCCAGACAGACAGACAGACAGACAAACAAAACAAACAAAACAAAGCACATCAACCTCTTGTACTATAGAGATCATATAAATTGCTGCATCATATTTCCGGACGTGCAGATGCCCTCACTCCGTCTTTTTTTCCTTGGGATTTCCGAGGCTGGCGCGAGTCCCGGGCGGCGCGCTGCAGCACCGTGAAGAAGGTCTCAAAGTTCACGGTGCCGTTGAGGCCCTGATTTCAAGGTCCCACGAGCAGGTCCCGTGTGGCTCAAAATTTAAGGGCTGGGGTTACACACAAGGGTTCGCAAGGGTTGGTCTTTGCTTCCATCCAAGGGGCCCAAAAATGGGTCCCGCTTTTTTGAGCCACAGCCAGATACTGCTGGTTGAAACAAACAGGTTAACTGGGACACAAACAGGTTAACAATATTCCTGATTTCAACCAAACAGGTTAACCCTGATTTCAACCAGGTCCATAGTGTACAAACCTCGGTTGCTTTCTGCTCTCCTGCTAAAAGTTTAACTTTTAGTGGTTTAATGGAAAACCCATTAGTTGGCAAACAGTTGAAGCCCTAACATCCAAGCAAAATGCACCAAAGCCATGATCACAGTGTACAAACCCCACGGACACCCACGGAACAGTATCCCATTTGCTCCAGTGAGTTGTGACCATGTTGCAAATTTCATGAGGTGAAGGCTTCATCTGTCATATGTCGGCTTTGGGTCTTTGGGGGCGGTGAGGCAAGTATATGCGTACATGGTGCGTAGAGATGTACACTCAGCTACTCTATCACTTGTCACCAATGACGCCCTCCCAAATGGAGCCCAAATCATTAGAATGGGGGGGGGTTGGGGGCACTTTATGACCACATTCTGTTGTGATAGGGGTAAAACTATTAAACACAATTTTGGTGTGGATCAATATTACTAGCGTTCCGCAGGTTTGGCCTTTGCTTCCGTATAAGGTGCCATTTAGGGTACCATTTTCTAAGCAGCCAACTGGTTGGCAAAACAAAATATATCCCCACCGAATTCTGATGTCGGGACTTGCAATTCATACCCACTGTTTATAACCAACTGGCTCTGCGGAAACCAAAAGGTACGGCTTGATGGTGGTGTTACAGGGAAACCACGGCCATGTGTAAAACATTTGGGACGCCCAAAGTCCATTTAAGCAAACTGACCTGAAGAGGTCAAAATGATGCCCCATCCTAGAAGTGGTAGCACGATGTGCATTACTCGCCGCGCCGGACGTGCAAGCGACAGCACGCCGCATTCCAAGGAGACCTGCCTGGGCGTCGAACATCTTGAACCTTGGCCGAGGTATAGCGGAGGGGCGTTCCGTCTTGGGAAAACAAAAGCGTTATCCAAGTCTTTCAGGTGGTATAGCTCGTGCTCTTACCCAGTTACTCAGGTGGTCCAAACGTCAAACAAATATTTTGCCAAACTAGTCAGACAACTGAGCTTAACCAAATTGGCAGACTGGCTTACGAGAATCAAAAGAAGCAACAACGGCTTCCCAGCGAGAACGACCTGCTTCAGAAAATTGCTTGGGCCGGCCTGTCTGGCTGTCAAAACTAGAACCGTTTCCAGGGATTGTAAATCCGAAACCCGGAGGCCACAGCTAAACCAAAACTTTTCCGAACCAAGATGACACCAAACGCTTCTGAGTTCTTTGCTCCCCCAGCTGAAAGCTATGGGGTCTCTGCGGAGGGTTCAAACGGAGACCCGGCTGCTTCCAGGGGGTTCCCTTTGGGCTGTTGGGTCCTGACACCTGGGCTCGCTTTTTCAGAGGCCCGCAGGAAGAGTGCCCGCTACTCCAAATATGGCTGTGGCTCAAAAAACCAGTACCAAAATGAAACCCTGGTAAGTGGAAACATGAACCAAAACCTGCGTAACCCCTCCTGGTTAATTTTGAGCCACACCCTTGCCATTTTTGTTGTTAGTTGTCGCTGTTTTGTTGTTTTTGTGCTTGTTGTCTTTTTTTTCCTGAAGGGGGGGGGGGCTCGTGTCGACACGTTCTTCTTCGAGAGCTTCTCTGCCATGGCACGTCTCACGCAGAGCACAGAACTCCTGCGAAGGCTCCGAGGTCTAGGGGCACCCTCCCCATTCTTTCCAGGGATCCGGGTCTTTCTAGAAAACCACCAAAAACCCTGGGGAAATTGAAAAGAACGATGGCTGAAAATAATAATGGGGAATCAACCCCTAGAAGAGGCTCATTCTATCTAAAGGCATCCTTGTCCTACATTGCTCAGGAGTTGAAATGGACAGATTCCAGCACGTCTCGTTTTCAGGTCGTTTTCAGGTTGCGTCAGGCTGCTCTGTCGACCCTGGCGCAACGCTAGTCATCATCCCGATGCTCCGCCCTTGGGCTTCAGTGGACTGGCACTGGCTCGGATCGAGCTTGCTGGGGGGTGGCAACGCTTCTATGGCTGCGGGTCAAAAATAGGTACCCACCATGGAACCCTGGTAGAAGGAAACACGGACTAAAACCTGCGGTCCGATTCCGGGTGGTTTAATTTTGACCCACGGCCATATCATGCCACTACCCTTGCTTCAACTTGAGACTGGCTATTCGTGGCCCTTGTTGACGGGGTAGCTTTCGGGCTCCGGCATGGCCCATTTCGTGGTTGCATATCGCCAAGATCCAGGAACGCCGAAGCACAAACCCCGAAAAAAATGCGAAGAATGATAAACACGTCGATGGTGGCATGGCCGCTCTCTAAGGCTTGGGCTGAGACCGTCCCCAATACACTGTACGTTTTGAATCAAACAGCATCCCAAAAGAAGACTCACTTGTTGGCCAGGATCTTGCGGATTGATTTGAACAGCCCAGCCAAGTGATCTCATGCTGGGTGATATTTGCCATCTGGGTGCTTCTAACAAACCGCATACTGTGGATGGACAAAATCCTCCACTGGTAAGATAGCTTGTCCCAGTATAGAGTTTCATCTATCCCAACTGGCGCGAAGTAGACTTTGCATGAACAATTCTACAAGAATTCAAGAACATAGGCCGATGTTGTCCACTCTGCCATGCATGGCGTTGCAAAACAAACCTTTCTGTGATGCCACAGTGCGCAATCCATACTACTTTGTCCCGGGGCTTCCTTTGGTACTGGTACCACTTTCCTGAAGCATCCATTCACACACTTCCAGACCTCCATTTGTTTAAGCCCCGGAGAAAACATACGATATGTCCAGCAGTCACAGCTTCCCTTTAAAACCAACAGGGGAAAATACAAACATCTTCTTAGGCAAACAAACGTGTCTTTGTTCTCTTGATTTTTTTTCGGGGGACCCATTTTTGCCTGGTTTTCAGGCACACCAAAAGGAAAACCCAAAATCCATTTTCGAGGTCGCCTCAAAAACAACACACCCTGAAATGGACGCAAATTGGAGCCCCAATTCTCTTGCCGGTGCTCAGCAGGGAATGAGGGAATGACCCCTATAAACACCCATCCTTACTGGGAACCAGCAAGTTTTCCACATGGACCCGACCCAGCAGACTCCATCTAGCGGGACTATCTCATCATCTTAGTGGGTTCCCCCCCATGGTCATCCCATTTAAATCTCCATTTAGTGGGAAGTATCATCATTTTAGTGGCTTCCTTTTTACGCATCCTTTTCGAAAAATAGATGGCCCTGGGAATTTCATGACAAAAATCTCACCCAGTGGAACCCGAATCGATTTCGGCACAAGCCAACCTAAAAAACGGAGACCGTGCCCTGGACGCCGCGAGCGACTCCTCCCAGGGCAGGTAGGTGGGAGACCTGGCCACCGCCAGCAGCCACGCCCGCGAGGGCTTCGAGGCCGAAGCGTGGGCGCGGAACCTCGCGCGTCCGCCCGCGCCCCGCGCCCCGCGCCCCGCGCGCGCGGAAGCGAACCCCGGGGAACGGGGAACGAAGCCCCGTGTCACATGGGGGGTGGGGTTCAACCCCCGTTAAACGAATGGCAAGGACTCAAGGACCCAATTTGGATGACAAGCCTTAGGTAAAGAATGGTGGTTATATGAACCCCCATTGCTTCAATGGTGGTTTGAACCCCAGAGTGGGTGCTTCTCTCAGGTCTCAAAAACCAAAGCGCATGGAGACAATCCCCAGGTCAGAAATCGAGAATCCAGGCGGTTCTCAGATCCCCCAAGTAAAGAGGTCGTCCTGGATGTTTCTCAGAAGGGACCAATTTCTCCAGGTAGGTGGTTTCCTTTTGGCTTACCTTTCCATCCCAAAAGGGTGTTGAGAACCCCCGACATGGGGCGCTCACTCCGTGCAACTCAGAAACCAGACGAGTGGATGGGCCAAACAAAAAAGACTGAACTTTTCATGAAAATGGTCCAAACCCCAAAAGTGACCAAAGTCCAGGAACTCCGCGAGTGAGCGAGTGAGTACATGGGGCGCTCATTCCGTGCAGTACACAAGAGACAACTACTACATTTAGATGCAATATGTTCGTTCTGGGGCAGGTGTCGATATCGCTGTTATTTTCAACGCAATTGAAGCAATTCAAGGCATAAATGGTGTATATACTCATTGACTAGAGACTGCATGCGCTCATAGCGACTCTGAAGAAGTGCAGGCCCTTGTGATCTCTTTTTCGTGTGTGTGTGTGTGTTTCCGTGCCCCCCTTTTTTTGGATGTCTTTATAGAAGCACAGAAGGAAACCAGCCTACACAGAGACCCTGATGCAAGCATGGCAAGATGTGGTTGCAGGGGACATCCGCGGAACCACGGCCATGTAAAAGAGGACACATAGCCATGTATTGCTTCCCCCAAAGGACGTGAGGGAGTGCTTTCCTGAGATTGTCCCTTCAAAGCAAGCCAACAAATGCTACCTCCAACAAACAAAACATATGCATAATATGGAGACAATAAATCGTGGTTTGGAGGTTGCTCAGCAGCTCCCAGCTCAAAACAGGCAAGGTTGCTTTAACGAACACCCAGCCAACCTAACCGGCCACATTCTTCCAGAAAAGGTTTCCCTGTAAAATTAAATCACATGCGGCATACCACTCTGCAAAGCATCACTTTCAAACAGCTTAGTGGCTTAGCGCACAACGAAATCTTTAGCTCAGGCCAACAAGCAACAAGATTCCAACATGTCCCCTGTATCCCTGGCCTATTCTTCTCGATCCAAGAAGCCGGTCCAAGATCACGCGCACCGGCAGCGCTCTGGGCGGATCGGCTATCCTGCTCTCCATCCGCTCGCTCGTGAGACCAAAAACCGGTCCCCAGGACTAACAGCCGGAAGCTCCCACCTTTGGAAAACTTGGCTCCATTTCCAGCGGTCTTCTACAAGCTTCTGGCGGTTAGTCTGAGGGGGTGGGGATCCTAATTATATCCCAGTTGCCCAGTGACTCCGGCATTTTTACCATGGAGCAAGCCTTGTCCTAGTTTGGAGTGGACCCTGTTCAACCCACCAAACAAAAGGTCTTTGCTGTTACTGAAATAACAGGGGATACTTCAGAACGCCGCCAAAAGGCAACTCTGAAGGCGGCCTGGCACGGACCAGGGCCAGGTAGTTGTCATCAAGCACCTCCCGCGCTGAAGGCCTCAAATGCAACCAGTGGACTTCCGCGCCATTTTTTGGGCATCAGGCGGCCAGGGGAGGACCAAGAATCGGCATGTTTTTTTTGGGTTGGTGGAGTTTAAAGGGAACCATTCCCAAAAAAAGCTGATAAAAGGGCGGAATCCACCGGGCAACTGGCTGGATTAAAGGATCCCCAAGTAAAGGACCTTTGTCATAGTGAGCTCGTTAGTTGGGGGGGCGGGTGTTTGTGCTGGCAGGTACGATGGGCTGCGCTTCCTAACATGGTAAACCTCTGTTTGTCCTGTTTCCTTCACCCTATCCTTCAGAGCAAGATAGCCCGTAGACTTGTCCATTCCCGGCGTTACAGCAAAAAGTGTTCCATCTAAACTGGTTGTTGGTTGAAGAGGGGTTCGCAGATGTCAACACTTGTGATGTACAACATGTCTATATATAACCTACCTGATGAGCGATATTTGATGTGGACTCAACCGGATGGAGTCTTCAATCAGCGGCCAACTCAAGCAACGTTTTGACAAGCTACAGAATGAGCTAAACCGCGGCACGAAAGGAGCACTGCGTTGGACACTGCCTCATTCAAGGGGCTGCATAATGGAAGGACTGAAGGTATTCTTCGATCACGTTAAACCTTTGGATGGCCCACCCCACGGGCTGCTTTCTCCAGGTGCATCAGTACATGGGAGCATGACACGTTCGCTCTCGGTTAAGAGATGGCGTTGGGGAAACCCGAGCAAACAAAAACCAGCATTTTGTGGTTTGTTTCCCTTTGGATGCCGCTTGGCCGCGAAGCACAACGATCCAGGGAGGTGTCGAGCCTCCATAATTTGTGCTTCCCTCCAAAATGGAGATAAGACAACGCCTCACCCATGTGGCAACTGGATCTCTGCATCTCAAGAGAAAAAGCACCAGGCCCGCCCGCCCAGCAAAGACCGACATTTGCGCGCCTTGCCAAGGGATCCTTCGTGAGCATCCGCCGCAAGAGCGGCACGGCGTTGGCCGGCACCTGCGCCAGCACCTTCTCGATGATCTCCTGTGCGAAGCCAGCATTCCCCAAAATGGCCGTGGATCAAAAACCTGTACCAAAATGCTTGGCAGATGGAACCAAAGACTTAAAGTTGCGTCTAGGTCTTAAATTTTGAGCCACACCCAAATCCATCCATCCAGTGCCCCATTGCGCTGAACTAAAATTGCTTTCAACTGATCCTGCGGTTCAACGGTGGGTTCAGTAGAGGACTGCAAGTCATGGAGCTTCGTAGTGCTTGTTCCGATCAGCGACACATGTTGGGAAGCCGTTCGCCAAGTGAAGCCAAACTCCTCAAACAATCAGTCAGCAAAGGGGTTTGCGTGTGATTTCAGGTTCTAAAGCGAGCACTGAGAGAGTGTATCACACGTATCACACATCAAAGTGCATCCAGCGACTGACACTGGAACTAAAATTCTACACCACAACAGGCTGCCCCATCAGCAGGTTTACGTCATGTCGCAGTGGTTTAGTCATACCTCCCTTACCTTTGAGGCATGATCATGACTCGCTGAAATTCGAAATCCACAGGGCCGAACCTTCCATGCTTTTGCATGCTTTTGCGGGTTGTTCGAGGGAAAACCCGCAAAGACACATGCACAAACGCACACATACGCACACACACACACCCAAAAACAAGGACGAAGTTCAACGGGCACGGACTTGGCTTCTCTCCTCAGACACTTCCTTGATCTCGCGTAGCACCACCTCCTCCTGGCAGGTGGATGATATTTATGATCTCTGCCCATGGTGAGCTCCCTAGTTAAGTCATATGGCTGCGGCTCAAACAACCGGTAGCTCCGTACTGAAGTCATATGGCTGCGGCTCAAAAATCCGGTACCAAAATGGAACCCTGGTAAGTGAAACATGGAACCAAAACCTGCCTAACCCCTCTGTTGAATTTTGAGCCACACTCATATCCGCCCTCCCATAAACTTGGAACCTGACTGAGGCCCTGGGAGGACAACTTGTTTGGAGGGATCCTCTTTCAGGCAGGTTCCAAGTCGTTTGCCATCCGACACCTGCGGCTCTACTCAGAAAGCCGTTCTCTGGCGCTTTGCGTTTCTCGCGAGCCTCCAGTACCAGATTGGCTACTGCCAAGTCAATCAACAACATAGCCAACGCCCAGCACTCCATGTACCCTCCCACCGACTCACATGGAAGTGCACAGACCCCTGTAGAAGGACAACATTTCTCTTGGGAAGCGCTTTGTGCACAAACCCATTTGAGTTGGTGGGAGGGTAAACCTCGTGCTGAGCAAAATGGCGGTTGCCTTCTTGGAGTCCTTTGGGTCGCCCTGCAAGTTATACCCACAAGCACGAAGCAACCCTCTTGCTCTAAGCGGGCATGACATCAATCACCTACCCTCTGTGCATAAGCAAGTGCCCAGGTATGCCAAATGGGGAATAAAACGTGCTACGGAAGATCTAAATCACCAGAAACTTGCCAGTCCTCGGAATAGCAGCTGGAATCCACATTGAAAACGCTCACAATGAATTGCCCATTTGCCCCTTGCTTCACCGCTCCGTGTAGCCGTCGCACTGACCGGCATCCCGGTGGAAGGCAGGCTCCCCGGTGAGCAGCTCGTCGAAGACGACACCCAGAGACCAAATGTCGCACTTCGCCTCATGGCGAAAGAGGACAACGGCAGGGGGATCTTTTGCCACCTTTTGTGGCCAATTGATCAACCCCCTCGTAGTGAAGGATTCCTTTTTGAGAGGGTCGGCAATTTTCTCACAAAAGGTAGCAAAAAGACCCCCCTGGACAACGGAACAAATCAAGCAATGAGGAAATCGAGGCGAAGGACACGGTGGAGAGGTGTTCAAGGTATCTGCAGGTGTGATGCAAAGCTTCACTGAGTTCGTTCGTACAGATCTGAGTTTGCGTGGTCTGATTGTTCAGAAACAGCGATGGGTCTGGCAATATGAGGCACGTAGACACGGACACAAACAAACCCAACGTAACCTACACATTGACACTGACTAGAGCAAACCTACAAACGTACAAAGGAAAAAAAAGAGAGACAGAGAGATCAAGAAAGAAGAGAAAGACAGAAAGAAAGAAAAAGGAGACACACAAGTCAATAAATAACGGAAACATATAAATGAATAAATGAATAAAGCGACCGAAACAGGCAGGCATCAAGCAAGAAAGCAAGCAAGCAAGCAAGCAAGCAAGAAAGTAAGCAAACACAAATTTACAAGCATTGCTATACCACTAGCCCTCATTAGTTTGCAAAGGGGCTGGTTGACAAGAGTGCGAAAGCATGGAATTTTGTTTGCTAGGTGTGGGTATTTGTTGGTGCGCGTGTGCGTGCGTGCTTGTGTTCCTTTGTGCGTGCTCTTTTGTGTGCTTGTCTGTGTGTGTGTGTTTGTACGAGTGTGTCTGCCTGTGTGCCTGGGTGTGTCCGAATGTCTAAGAGTCTGTGTGACTGTGTGGCTGTGTCTGTGCATGCGCTCGCGCCTACGAGTTGTTCCTAGCAACAGCGCATGATCCTACTGCTGACTGAAAACTCCAAAACAAATATCCTACATCCTACACATTGCAAGTGAATGCAGTGCTTTGCTTGTAGTGGCTGCAATACAGGCACTTTGGACATAAGCAAGCAGAACTAACCAAGCTATGTGCATCTTGAACATTTCGAGTGGTGTAGTAGTGTTACCCATAGTCCAAAAAAATGTATCTCGCTACCAATTTGGAGGGGCCTGGCACGGATAGAACGGAGCCAGCCAACACCACAGGCAAGTGGAGTCATGAATCCTAGAGCGAATCTATGCCTTCATACAGTCCAGTGCTGTGCACACCTGGCATCTATACTAAATGGGTTGCTTCTGGAAAAGCGAAAACCAACGTTTGGAGCAAACTGGTTGATGTGAGCAGCCAAAGCTCAGGCGCCCAAATTGACAGCCAAGGGTCTGTGTACGCGCTTTCGCTGCTGAGTCCTGCCTTGACCACTTCCTTAGCCGTCGGATGGCTTCACAGGAAGGGCAGTACAAGTAATAGCACAGCGGGCATAGCAACGTTGATTCTACCATCCCACCAATGACAAACATGGAACCTGACAGGGGGGTCCTGGACGAATTCCTTTTCAAGGGACCCCCTGTCAGGTTCCATGGTAATTGTAATTGGTGGGAGGGGAACACTTGACGATAGATCAACCAACAATTTGAGCAATCACAGCAAGCGCATCAAATCGCGCACGGAAGCCGAGCTCTCCAACGCCGAAAACACAAGAAACTTCGCCGTGTCTGCTTCGCAGGAGTTCGGGGTGTATAATACATTGAGCCGAAAAGAAAGGTTCCCTTCAAAAAAGCAAGCAGTTTTCAGTCATCAAACAAACCTCCAGCAGGTCGCAATTTATAATTTCCTTGCTATGACATCCGGGCATAACTTTGGACCCGTTGGTATTTATTTCAGCCTTCAGATTGGTTTCTGGGTATGTGTTAAAACACTTTCAACTAAGGGATCCCAAAACAAGCGTGGTTGTCCTTTTAAACCAGCCCCAAAACGGGAGTACCCTCAAAGAAAAACACAAACCTTGGTTCCCCTGGTTCTCCTTAAACCAACCCCAAAAAGGGTAGCCTCAACAAAACACTTGGCTGCTATTGACCCCTCCGCGGGAAAAACCAAAAAAACAAGTTTTGTGGGGTCCCGTGGGGAAAAAAAAACAGGGTTGCCCAAAAAAAAATAAAGTCCAAAGAGCCGGTACCAAATAGCCATGACAAGCCCTGAAGCTTGTGGAAAACCAGTTGGCTCCGAGTTGTTTTTCGTCTTTTTTCTACCGTGCCAAGCTTCAGGCGCCAAATAGCCCAGGGTGCCCATGCAGCCCTGAAGGCTCTCAGCGCCCAGGTAGCCTTTCACACCTCAAAGGCAAGCCACAAATGGGTGCCTCGCCTTTGGTTAGGGGATTCCGTTTTGGTTTTGAGGGGACAGCTTAAAAAAAGGGGGAGTCCAAATCCCGGAAAAGTTTCTCTGCCCCGTGTTCCTTTGATCGCCACAAAAAGACAATGCGAAATAAATTTATTCTATAATCTTTGGGACAAGGCACTAAATCCAAAGTCGATGAGCTTGATGGTCTGGCCATCTGCCTGGCAAGACAAACTGACCAGGCGATTATTTTCGTTCAACACGGGCTCGTTTCGAGCAGTCCGAGTGGCCACTGCGCATTGCTGGTACGATAGGTATAGGGAATGACCCAGGCTCTGGACAGGAATCCAACTGACGAGGATCGACCCCAAACATCCTCAAACCACATACCAGGTTTGCGTAGCGGCCATTTTCAACCAACAAAATTCAAAAAACTTCCCAGCACATTGTTGGTGCCTCTCCGAACATAGACCCCAAAAAAACACTCAAAAACCCGGCTCCTTGGCTTGCTTTTGGTTTCCTGGTGTTTCCAAAAGCCATCCAGGTGCCCGACTGAGACAGATTCCCATTCCACTCGAATCGAATCGAAGCGGAAGGCGTCCGCACCTCATAGACCCAGTTCCTTGGCTTGATGTCTCTGTGCACAATGCCCAGGGAGTGGATGTAGTTCACCGCAAGCAGCATGGGCACCTTCGAAAACTCAAGGATTCGGTCAGAAATCAAATTTGGAGTTCGAGGTGAGTCGCGGAACAACTCCCGCGTTGCGGCTTTTCTCGTTGTTTTTGTTTCTCTCGAGATGATGCCCTGACCAGTCGGAGAGTCTGAGAAATGAACCTCCTGCCAGGCTCCCGCATGGAGCTGCAAAGTTGGGACCAGTGTATCCCCTCTACCATGCGGGGGACAGAAAAAGGGGGGGGGTCCCCCAACTCCAGTGGACTTCCAGGGGTCACCCCCCCCCCTCCCCCAGATCGATCAGGTCCACTGGGCCCCAGAGTCCCCATCTCTCCTCATGAGGCCCGAAGGAGCCGGTTTCGCGGGGAAAACGTTTGGGGAGAAGCGTGGGGCGCGCCTTTTTGTCCAAAACGTACCGAAACAATACGCCGGCATGTACACAGTGCCCAAAGTTTTGGCGAGACGGGCAGGCACAGGCAGGTGGGATGTGAATCAAGGCGAGGCATCGCAAAGCAAGCAAGCAAGTGTTGAACTCCAAGCAACATGGTCAAACGTTTTCCGGCATGCGTGACATTGGACATATCAGATCTTGGTGAACAGTCCCTTTACCGTTAGCTTTTCGTGACAAGCTGTTTTGCTGATGGTGTCGCCAAGGCGCATCACTCTTGAATCTAGCCACAAACCATTGAACAATATGGGAGCAACAAACATAGCTCATTTGCATGATTGATGCGTGACGTGTTTTCGATTGTTTGTGGATCCGTGAACATCAACACCCATCAACCTGCCAAGTTGCGGCCACGTCTTGAAACCTCGGGCGAGGTTTCACGCACAGGACCGATGTTGTGTCGAACACTCCAGGACGAACCTGCTACAAGCACAACATTACTGTCAATAACAGGGTACGGAACCCTGTGATGGATGATGCTGTTTTGCGGAATGGCTGAGGCTTCAACAAGCCGCTTATCTGCGAAGGAAGCGCAGCGGTTCCTATCAGCTATTCGTGTGATTTCAGCTGCGGCGGCCTTGCAAAACTTCAAACCCATCTGGGCTGGACTGAAGGGGACAACTGGCTTCATTTTGACCACCCCGTGGCAAATGCAATCTTATGTAGTGCAGATGTGTGCTGGGAGTCATCGACTGGCGGCCTACGCAGCCAAACGATCTACAGCTAAGCAGGTGTGCACCCTGCTTTGAATCCTTTTTCTTGGTGGATAGTGGCAACCACTGGTGCAAGTTGAAGTTGGGCTGCCACATTTATTTCGAAGCTGCCAGGTTCCTTCCAACTCAAAGAAGGCTAAGCCAAGCCAGCAACTAGACATATGGCCATGGGTCAAAATCCCGTTCCCCCAGTGAGCATCCCAATCCCAACTAAAATAGGTCCTAAAATGGGTCGTACACCTACCCCAAAATGGGATCCCATTGGTTTTGACAACCACAGCCATATCACAACAAATGCATCTGATCCGTGCTGAGCCATACGTTCAATGAGGCATACGGCTGTGGCTCAAAAACATGTACCAACATGTTACCTTGGTAAATGGAACCAAAAACTGAAACCTGCGTAACCCCTAGCTCTTTAACCCATAAACCATTTTAGCCCCCAACACCTCCGGTTATCCCTTTGGCTTCCCTTGAATCCCTTTGGTTTCTTTCATTTTGAGCCACGCCCATATCCCCTAGACGCTGAAGGCCACAGCTCGGCCAGCTGGGTGCTGGCCCAGGCGCTTTGGCTCGCTGAAGGCACCCTGGCTGCGGATGGCGCTCTCCAGCGTCCCGCCGGAGCAGTACTGCATCACCAAGCTCACCTCGTGGCTGAAGCGCTGGGAGTATCGCATCAAGTCTTGGGACTTGAGCCACTGGATATTGGTTCAAGAGTTGGGGTCAGCTCAGAAGTGGCGAAAGGGGGTACCAAGAACTCCCATGGTGTCTAGAGGCCAAAGCGTGGTCACCAAAAAATTCCCGCCCAAATGGAGTCCAAAGGGTCCCAAATGTTGAAGACCGACCTGACGGGGAGGTGCGACAATCCAATCCTCAGACCTTTCATATGGCCATGGGTCAAAAACCCCGTACCAGTGAACATCCCAATCCCCACCTAAAATAGGTCCTAAAATGGGTGGTGAATTCACCTACCCCTAAATAGGATCCAGATGGTTTTGACCCACAGCCATATAAGCTGACACTAGCCACCTAGCCAAAAGCATGTGGCCAAATACTTGGATTGCTGATGCCGCGGCCCTGAATCACTGTCCCTCGACATTAGGACGGGTGCAGGAAATCAGGGCCTGCACTTCTTGTCCACCGTCGTATTTGTCAAACAGCGCGGCACTACAAAGAGTTGGGATAGCTCTTGCTCAAACTGCCCGCAAGAAAAGTCAGAACATGCTTGTTATATGTGCCGTCCAAATGCTGTTCTTCCCCCGATCACCAAGATCTGTTTTCCAGCACCGTGCAACAACTACTGTTTTGTTGCCAGGCAAGCCAGCAGCAAACCAGGAAGAAACAAGCTCTTGTCTGCTCCCTGCACTACAGTGCGTCAAATGACTCGACACGACTCATAGTGGTCAAGCAGGATCGCAAATCGGTGTTCCGACATTGAAACATCGTGCAACACATCGTGCAGTACATCACCACCACAACTGTAAAAAGCAAACAACAAGTGTATGCACAATTTGACAGTCTTCTTGATCTATCAATTTCTCTTCAACTCATCAAAGAAGAAGTCACCAAACAAGGGGCCTTAATTTGCTTGCTTGCCTGGCCTGGACTCGGATCAATCGCAATGACAGGAAGTGAGGTTCAAGCCAATTTCAGATCCCTCTGCATGCATGGAGCATTCCTATTGAAGTCATTGCAGGCTGAACCCGGCCTGAACCCGGGCTCAAGCGTTTTTGACGGTGCCATAGCTCCGCACTCGCGCCTGCTCGTCGTCCTCGTAGACATCAAAGAGCCGCGCAATGTGCGGGTGCTCCAGGGACAAATAGATCACCGCTTCCTTAGGCGGACAGGCAAAGGCATGCGTCTCCACAGCAAAAAAGGAAGGATTGTCCAGGAACTGTTTAAACAAAAACCATTTTCGTGGAAAAACAACAACTTCGGACTTTCGGCCAAGGGAAACAGCTGGAGCCATCTAAATGGCATTGGCGAGATCAACCCACAATAACCCACACCTTCACAGCTTTAGGTTGTGCGCCGAATCAGCGGCAACTCCAAGGTTCAACCCTACTTCAAGCATCTTCAAATTCACTCAGCGTGAGTTTGGTTGAGAAGTCCTATCTAGATTCCTCATGGATGCCTACATCTCACATAAACATGTTCGTTTTACGCATGCAGAACGAGCGCTTGCCGACCTGTGAAGGTCTCAGTGCTGTCAGCCAAGTGTCGTTCTTGAGCTTATCCAGCTTGTCGGGTGCCATCCTAACGCCGCGACGTGTTGATCGGTGGCTGCTCGATAGGTTCCCCCACAAGTTGCACGAGGATGCTACGCCATGCTACGGCTAGCAACACGATTGTGAGGAATTCGGGGATTGCAAAGGGAACATCTGTATCAAACTCCTTCAGGAGATGTGATGATGCGGCTGAGACGTGCCTGGTTGTTCAGGCAAAGGAGTGCCTTCCCGTACGGGAAATCATGCATTGTTGTCTCCTAGCCGCTGAGTTTTGCATTCAGTGGGCTTCTGCATGCCTCTGCTCCCACTGCAGTTTGTCAGCTTAAAGGTTGGAGAGGAGCTGTGACATATTTCGTGTTTGAATATAAACACATGGCGAATTAATTCGTTCATGGCCCCGTGGGAAACCGGGCCAGGTTCGAAATCGGCCCCGTGGCGCCCCAAAAAAGGGGGCGTAGTCCATCAGTCAAAGGTATGCTACACATCCTGTCCACTGTGTTTTGGTTGCAGGCAGTTGCGATTGGAAATCCCCACGCTCTGATAGGCACTGTAGCCCAAATACTGTCTGTCATGCGCGGTTGATGGTCATGGGTCAAAAGCCCGTACCCACATCCCAATCCCCACTAAAATAGACTAAAATGGGTGGTGCACCTACCCGAAAATGGTACCATTGGTTTTGACCCACAGCCATATCTGAGATGGTGTGAGACGCTCAGAAGAGATCAAAGTACTTGGAATGCACTTGGAACGCCGCTGATTCAGTGAGGGGCAACGCGGAGGACCTGAGGTTCCCTCAAGGATTGACAGAGCTGTATCAGTGAAATTTCGAGCTCAGGGACCACGCCCCACTGATCGAAAGACTCGCATGCAATGCTCACAAGGCTTTCTCGAAGCGGGAAATGGATGTCCTGTGAACTGCTGACCCCCGAACCCCTACCTGCGATTGCGGGGACAGCGCTCCGGGGTTTCGCGACATACAAGTACTGCGGATGGACAAAATCCTGCACCACCAAGAAACTATGAAAAACCATGGCTGGTTGGTATTTGCAGAGGAGTCATCATGCCGAAAAAATCCTTAGGTGGTGCAGGACTTCGTCCATCAGTAGGAAAGGGAAGTCTTGGGGTATTACTCGGTTGCTTTCTGCACCCTGCTAAAAGTGACTAACTTTTAGTGGGTTTAATACGGAAAACCCAAATTCGTTGGCTCAAAAAGTTGTTCAGTCAACTAACAGCCCTTGGCAAAATGCCAAGCTGGCCGAGGTGCTGCTTCAGGTTGAAACTCTTCACGCATCGCACGTAGGTCTCCTGGTTCTGCCGCACCGCAGCCTTCTCTTTCCGCCTAACAAAAACGATGCGGTTCGGGCCCACCTCCGGTGGGTGTGTGTGACAGGAACCAACAGATGATCGGTTTTCCGTGTTGGTCTCCTCTTAAAAGGTGGGGGAACCAACAAATGCGGAAAACTCCGTGTTGGTTTCAACTCTTAAAAGGTGAAAAGGCCACCTTCAAAACACATACAAACATACACAATATGGGTATGAGCTTCAAGTGGAGACACATTGGCCACCAACCAGCTTTGAGGGTGCTCATCAAACTTCATAGGATGAGCCAACTGGGGATTCGCGTGAGACCAAACACGTGCAGAACAAACCATCTGGGGCTGACAAACCAAGGACAAGTATTCAATGTTCGCCTGTAAGTGAAGTGAATCTGAGCGTCATCAAACTTCATAGGATGAGCCAACTGGGGATTCGCGTGAGACCAAACACGTGCAGAACAAACCATCTGGGGCTGACAAACCAAGGACAAGTATTCAATGTTCGCCTGTAAGTGAAGTGAATCTGAGCGTCTCCTGACAGGCCAGGGGCCCAACTGTAAAACACATTCTGAGACATGTGGTACGTGGCAACCCTGACACGTGATGGCAACAAACCCCGGGCAAAGAGCGCTGCACAAATCCTTAGCCAGTAGCAAGCCTTCAGCCAGCAGGACACCCTCTCCCGGCCGTGGGACTCCCGGAAAGTCATCACAGGGCAACACAAAGTCCGACATGCCGTCTGACGCGTTTTCCTGACTTGCCATCGCTCCATGCTCCAACACTAAAACCTCGCACGAAAACGTGGTGCCTGCACAGCACCACATCTCCACTGAAACCGCTGCCGATGATGGTCGGCCTTAGCGGCCAAGCTGTGCACGAAACATCCGGCAACAGGCCTCACAACCACGCATCATCTGTCACACTACTAGCACCAGCCGATATCCTCTGACGAATGCATTCCAACAAAAACTAGCAAATGGCATCCATATGCATAGTTATTCCTATATTCATGTGTAAGTACACATATGTTCGAATCTATGTATACATGTGGCGCATAGAAACTGCAACGACCGCGTGGTTGTATGCGTCCATGCATGCGGTTTCCAACCCTCACCCTGTCACCAGCTTGCCAGCTCACCCCTTCACACACACACACACACACTGCAGACAGGCGGAGCGAAGGCAAACTATTGCCATACAGAAAACGCGACTCCTCCCTGCTCAGTAAATTCGCCTTGAGCGAGCCCCTGATGCGGTCAGATCTTTCTTGAAATCATTGGAAACTTCTTCCAGCCGGCTTGTCCAACCCACCCAATGCAGCCAGCCTCGCTGTGGCCAACGCGCGCTTCTTCCAACGCAGGCCCTGCAGGTTCCACCCCCCCCTGCTGGCCCTTGCCCTTTAGACTGCGGCTCTTGTCCTAGCCCTTGAAGCACGTGGAAACGCGTGAGCATGCACCCACCGCTTATCTTGGAAACCAGCTCACGAATTTATGCGCTGACGCACTCACTCACTCAAAAAGACACAAAGCAAGCTACAGCACTTCAAAGCCAAGCAAAGGAATTCTGGCCGAGGCGGGCAGCGAAGCGTTCGGCGAAGCGTAGTTAGTATCATGGTCACAGGTGGCACCCTGGATGTCCCTTCAGGCTGCGGCGGCTGCGAAGTGTACTCGTAGTCGTCCAGGAACTTCTGGTCGCGGTGGTACAAACACGCCAGCAGCTCCAATTTCAGAGCCTCGAGTTGCTAAGGACCTTCCGACTGGACGCAATCTGAATTGGCATCCCCTAGGCAGGTTGCTCTTCGTCCTTCTTTCTTGTTGTCTGTTTTTTTTTGGGGGGGGGAGGGGGGGAAGACCCTTTTTAATTGAAATGTTTGACCACGGGGCGTGGTGAAACCGATAAAGGGTATCCAATAAAGGGTATCCTCCCACCAACTAGCGTGGAACCTGACGTTTCGAGGGTCCTGGAAGTCAATGTTCCTTTTAAAGGGATCCCCTATCAAGTTCCATGTTAATGGACAGGAGGGTATCCATTATTGGGGGCTCAAGCCAAGATAATATCATCCTCTCAAAGCCAAAAGAAACTGCGAGGTTTCCAAACACAGAAGCCTGTGCATGGTAATCATGTGCCGCTCACTCTGATTGCTTACCTTCTTGTTCAAATTGTAGGTTGTTGTTGACCCATGTCACACTCACACACGCACACACACACACACTCACATCGCACAGCTGGCACTTTCCATCCCAAGCTAGCAATTCAATTGAAGCCCACATACATCGATCATGTGAGAACGGGCAATGAAAGTTCGGTGTCGAACCAGGCAGCTGGACAGCCCCATGCCCATATGCAGCCGGCTGGCTCTTTGATTGACGTTGTTGTGCACCTCCTGGCAATTGCCCAGTAGGGGCAAACTTGGTTGACATGATGAGCAACGAAGCCAACATTCATAAGCTAGGGTTGGCCAACCCGCAAACACATTTGTAGCCACTGATCTTCGTGAATCAATAGGTTCAGGCCCCCAAATGCAAACAAAGACAAATCCATATTCATGAGCCAGGGACACATTCTAGCATGAACATCACCTCTTCATGAACCAAGGCATAATCAACAATGCGGCTACTCAGCTTCCGGCATGCTTTTCCTAAGAAATTTGACACTCCTTGACAAACATGCAGGGGCGTGCTGGCAAGCAAACAACGAGAGAAGCCCCTGGCTTCTCAAACCCTGTGGCCTTTCCCAGTCCCATGGCCAAGGCCTTTCCATGATTGCCCACATCAGGGTTGAGCGCCGGCTTCGGCTTCGTTGAGGGGGGTTCAGTATCATCCGAAATGGCCATGTATGTGCCGGACTGGGCCCTGTTTGGATCTCAAAACTTGATCAAAGCTTACTGTGTGAAGCATCTAGAAGAGCACTACTAAAGGCACCCGTTGGAGCCACTGGTCCATCATGTTGGGCCTCACCTCAAGGCATCATGTCCGAGTCATCACACATGAGGAGCGCACTTTAGCTTTCATCCGGGGTGAAATCGATGAAATGCACATCTTCCGTCATTTCAACACGCCAGGGGGAGTGGTGCGATGTCTGCCTTTTGCGTCGACAACCTGCCAGGATCAGAACGAGAAACAAACACCAAAATCGCTCAAACAAACTTCCCCAGGCCAGCAAAGCTCAGATATCCCTAAACAGCATCAACTACCTTTAATTGAACTAGCCATGCGGTATGTGCCAACTGCCAGTCTGGAACCAGGGCATTGAAAGCAATCGGACAAACAAACACGCCACCATTCCCCTCAAAGCAGCCCGCGCCTCTGAGATCAGGGACAGGCGCCTAGGCCGGAGTCCCTGCAGCGGCGAACTTTGCCTCAAAAAGCAAAGGAGAAAGCGAGTCGTTGAGTCGTTGCTCGTGCGTTTCCAAGCCACAAGTCATTGACCAGACTTGGCAACATGTCTTGGTGCTTGGCGCAAGGGGCAGTGCATGATGGAAACAAGTGTTGGGGGCACCTCGAGTCAAAAGCTAACATGGTCAATCACACAGTGAGATTACAATATGCATCGTCATATTCCAAAAATATACATATATTGCATATATGTGTACAGGTGCGTGTGTGTGTGTGTGTGTGTGTGTGTGTGTGTGTGTGTGTGTGTGTGTGTGTGTGTGTGTGTGTGTGTGTGTGTGTGTGTGTGTGTGTGTGTGTGTGTGTGTGTGTGTGTGTGTGTGTGTGTGTGTGTGTGTGTGTGTGTGTGTGTGTGTGTGTGTGTGTGTGTGTGTGTGTGTGTGTGTGTGTGTGTGTGTGTGTGTGTGTGTGTGTGTGTGTGTGTGTGTGTGTGTGTGTGTGTGTGTGTGCGTGCGTGCGTGCGTGCGTGCGTGCGTGCGTGCGTGCGTGCGTGCGTGCGTGCGTGTGCGTGTGTGTGTGTGTGTGTGTGTGTGTGTGTGTGTGTGTGTGTGTGTGTGTGTGTGTGTGTGTGTGTGTGTGTGTGTGTGTGTGTGTGTGTGTGTGTGTGTGTGTGTGTGTGTGTGTGTGTGTGTGTGTGTGTGTGTGTGTGTGTGTGTGTGTGTGTGTGTGTGTGTGTGTGTGTGTGTGTGTGGGTGGGTGGGTGGGTGCGTGCGTGCGTGCGTGCGTGCGTGCGTGCGTGCGTGCGTGCGTGCGTGCGTGCGTGCGTGCGTGCGTGCGTGCGTGCGTGTGTGTGTGTGTGTGCAAACTTGCGAGCGACTTAGACAGTAAACATCAAATGGCGAACCAGCACATTAACCCTTAAAATTCATCCAAGTCTCATTTGGACAACGGACACAAAATAGAAAACTGATTGCAACACGCGATGTTTGGCCACGATAGGAACCAACCAAAGCCAAAACTTTGTGCAAAAACGGCATGCTCGTCTTCATAACATCATCCTACTCCTCCCCCCCCCCTCCCCCCCCCCTCCCCCCCCCCCTCGCTCCCCCCCTCCCCCCCACTTCCCCCCCCCTCCCCCCACTTCCCCCCCGCTTCCCCCCGCTTCCCCCCGCTTCCCCCCGCTTCCCCCCGCTTCCCCCCGCTTCCCACCCTCAAGACCCCTCAAAGGCCCTTTCCAGCCTCCGCATGAGTGGCAGTTCGCCACCCTCCGGCTGCGCCTCGTCGTAGCGCACCGTCATGCGTTTCCTTTGCGGGAAAGAAGCGCCGGCAAATCACTGAATTTGTTTTGGCGTCACCTGCACGCAAAATAGCTCACGGCATCCAATGTAATTTGCTGCGTGTAAACTTGGAAGCTCTACCAGCGACTTATTTATTGCTGGGGCAATGATGCCGAAACTAACGCATGTTGCGACGCAACGCAAACAAAAATATCTTGTGAACTGATTTAAGGCGGAAAAAAGTCTGGAGTCCTTCGCTTTTACTCCTGCCCAGCAGGTTTGGGTATGTTGGATATTTTGCGACATCCGTTCGCGACCCATCCCTCGTTTTCCTTCATTTGCCTTGGCCCTAGAGCCGGGAAGCCGTCAAACCCCTTCAGACCCTTCGGGATCTTCCCAACCCCCTTCCCGACACCAAAGCTGGCCCACGCTTGACCCAAGCTGGCAACCTCTGAGTAAGGCCATACGCTTACTGAGTTTTGTTGGACGGGCGTCGAAAGTTGAACTTGAATCGCTGCAGGCGAGACAAGTTCCGGATTCTACCGAAATGGCGCCAGGCCGGTGAAGTTGGAGCACAGGCTGCAGTGGTGCGAGAGCAGGCTCGAAGCATGCGAATTCGGGCAGCTTAGTGGCGGAATATAAAACTGTTTCCTCCTCTTCCTCCCCTCGTCTTCCCCACCAGCCCATGGTTTGTAGGCGGTGCGTTAGGGCAGCTGTGCGCAAGCGCGACAATGAGCGCAGCATCCGTCAGTTGTGGGAGGCGCGCAAGCCAGGAAGCAGCTTAGGCTTCCACAAGCCGGAAGACGCGGGGTTGAGGTGGAAAACCGCTTGAGCACGCGCAGTCGCGCTCGGTGATCATACTTGCTTAAGCTGGTAGCAACCGCTAAGATACTCATACTGCTTTGCAAAGGCTCACTTCAAGCTGCTTCGCGTAAAATGCCCAGCGCCTCCTTCTCCAATGCAACAGCGCGAGCTGTAAGTTCGTGCGCGTGTGTGCCATCCTAGGAAGTCAGCAGCCCTACGCAGCCCAGGGCCACTCCCATCGGCACCGGTCTCGAAGCCGTAGTCATCGCAGACGGCCACTTGCCCGTCGGGGCCCTGCCCTTGCTTCGGACCGTCGTGATGCCGTACCGAAGAATCCTCCTGCAGTCAAAGCCATGCCGGCGTGTCGTCCATCCGGACTCACACATGGCCGTTGAAGCTCGGCGCGCGGTAAAAGGTATTCAGCTCTCAAATGCAGCGGTAATGCATGCCAGTTTGTGTTGCTTGTGGTGACTCGCAGCTGCTTCTTGCTTGTATTGTCCTAACACATGACCCGGACAGCGCGCGCCAACTCTTACTGACTATCTACTGCAGCCACACTTTTCTCTCAGGCTGGCCTCTTTGCAAACCGTGTTTCTTGCAGTTTTTATTTGTTTGGGTTTTGCCTCTGGCGTCCGCTGGGTGTGCCTGCGGGCGCTGCCTGGACGCGTTGGGTGACGGGCCCTTTAAAGCGCATGCCTGAATCATGGCTGAGATTAGCTGAGGCTGCTGGAAGCCACGAACAGCTGCGACGACACGCGTGCGTGGCGCACAAATCGTGACAAACAAACTGCTTTACCTCGAGCTACCCCCGCCTAAGAGCCTTGCGGTCAGTTATCTGGGTCCGGCCACTGGCGGGAGCCTCAGGGTCTGGTCTGTCACAGCTGTGCGCCTGCGACCGTTGGCCGGAGAGTCAAGGTCTGGTCTGTCACAGCTGTCTGGGTCAACTCTGTCACAGCTGTCATGGTCAGAGGCGCGCAAGCACCAAGCACACTGCGTGCGAGCGGATGTCACAATCCAACAACCCCGAACCTGTTGGGTGGAGGAAACGGAAAACCGTTGTAAGTACAAACAAATATCTATACACATGCACACACTGATGCGTGATCCCGAATGAACACCACCTTCACACAGCTACTGACTTTGTTCCTTTCTTTCAGGTGCCCATCGGCACAACATGCATCACCTTGCCCAGCTCTGTGCGCCTTGCGGGGTGCACTTCTGCGCTGGGCGAACCATATGTTATTGCACCTGAAGCAAAGGGATCATTTTGCCTCACAAACCTGTCCGTCGCCCAAAGTTAGAGTACCTGAGCATCCAAAGAACCACATTGAGGGCCTCATAAGCGGTGATTGCAACGATCTCAGGCACAAATCGAGGCTTTTCACAAAACCAGCTTACAGCGCCGGTTGCATCGTTCGGCAAAAGTACAACTTTGTACTGGACAGTGGCAGCCTGTCTGTAGTTTTGCAGAGCTGATTGATGAAACCTGTGCCCGTCTCTCTCAATTAGTGAATGGACCCTGTCATTCGACAGGCTAACAGTGTTTGGACATGTTTGGACGCACTTAGGACATGAACAAGGCCAAGTTTCAACTCCGCCGTTCGTTGCAATGTGAGTGCTCAGTTGCAACGTTAAGTTTGAGTTGCGCAATTTGTTTCTACTCGTCCGTTCTGCGTTGGAGCAGAAGAATCAAGCGCTTCCGATCAGAAGCAAGGCGCCCATACACCGAGGCACTGGTTGATGATGCTGTCCAGGTGCGTCTCACTGCCCGGTTTCACCATCGTCCTGAGCCGAGAGACACGTGATCAGCAACATGGGCGGGTCACCTGCTTAAAGTGGCCCACGAAGCTTTGTGGTGGTTTTGTTCCTCCTTCTAAATTGGCGCTTGGAGCTATGGGGGGCCTGCACGTACTGTAAATGTCTTCCGCCGCCTCACAAGGCATGAAGCTCACCCTCACAAATCCAAGATCACATGATATCTATCATACCCAACCCTAAATCTAGAAACACATCATGCCCTACAAACAAAGATGGCCGCAAAACCGCAAAGATAATCCAAGAAACTCGACTCCCTCAGCCTCCATCCCTCAGCCTCCATCCCATTTCCATCCACTCCCCGCCTGGCCAGCTGCGGTGTGAAATCGCCCAGGCGGCCCAAGCGCAACGCCAGGCGCAGCAACTGGCAGCGCCCCCCAAAGAGGAATTGGACCACTGGCTGGCCGAGTGGATGGCCGAAAAAAAAGTCCCCAAACTTCTTTTTTTTTACCACTGAAGTTCATGAACTCAGGAAGTGAGACCTGCTGGAAATCGTCCCCAAAAGGAACCCTTCGATATTAGTCGCTACTAGCCCCTGGAATTGGGGGTACTAGACCCTGTTCGCTATTAGCCCCTGGGGTTGGGGGATTGGGGAATCGGCCCAAGCGCAACCATAGGAGCTGTGGATGGGTGCGAACTCCTACCACCTAGCAGGAGCCCAACGGAATGCTTCGATTCCCAAGAAAATACCCACCAACGATACGGCCTTCGACCATGGCTTCACTTTCGACACGTGCGAAGTGGAGTTCGTAACCATCCAGGGAATGACCTCATGATATTTCAGCTCCCCGACGAGTACTAGTGGTTTGGAGCTCGGTGGTTTGGAGGGGCAACAAAAAACCTGTTACCCTCTCAGCCGGGGGTAGAAATCCAAATCAAAACCACCAATCCAAACCACACTAAGGCTTGCCTGAGTTGTTTCATTTCGTCTCACCAAAACAGCACCAAGCCGGAATTTGTCTGTAAAACAAACTATGCGTTCCTGGCTCTGTCATCGCATCAATGCATCCATGCTACCTGATGAGCTCTGACCGGCCCTTTGTGTGCAGCAACTCGGCTCCCGCCTGAAGCCGAAAGCCGTGATTGGAGAGGATCGTCCCACGCCGACCCTGTACCAGCTCCACCTCAGGCATACCGCCACTGCATCACGTCTGGCAAGCAGCTAGCTGCTTAGAGTGTAAAACACCAATGAAAAACAAATCCAGAATGAAACCATGTCAAGCCTCACATTTGCGCACGTTATATATAACTCAGAAACTATGTGCTCATGTCTCGTGACAGAGTGCGCATACCTTCATGTTTTGTCATGAATTGACCGCACATGCGCATGCACAGCTCCAAGACAATGCAACAGTGTAAAGAGATCTATAAATCACCGTGTTCCCCCCACACCCAGAGTTCCAATTGTTTGCACACTGTTCTGTTCAAAGGTGGCTTCCACAAACGGTTTCATCCACCACCAGTCGTCAAGGGCACAACAACAACCAAACAAAACGCAACAAACAGGTGTTCAAAGGGCCTTCACACCTCGACTGCTCAAACAAAAATCTCTGTGTGGGTTCCAGATCAAACCGCAAACTTTGCACTGACCTACCCTCCCAAGCAACATGGAAGTCCATGTACATCGCTTTTCAAAAGCACCCTGCTTCCAAACGGGGTCTGACTTCCATGTCCCGACGTCTCAAGTGGGCGCCAGAAATTTGCCTGTGTCCAGTCGGCAAGAAAAAGAGGACTGCTCTGCTCTCATTGGAAGAGTAGCCATGGCCCTGGTAAATGGAGTAAACCCCGAATCTAAACCAGGAATCGCCCAACCTATTCTTGTTTTTTGGCAACCCATGGTCAGAAACCAACCAAAAAGGACACCAGCCGAGCAAACCAACCGAGCAAGCCATGGTCTTAAACCAAGCGAGCAAACCAAAAAGGACCACCCATGTCTGGGTTCCACCCGTGCCGAGCAGCGGCTTCCAGCAGGCTGTAGCCCTACCAAAAGTTGGCCAACCCGAAAGGCGAATCGCGAACCGCGAAGCCGTCCGGAGTTCCGTTGGCTCTTTTGGTCTAGTGAACTCGATTCCCTTTAAAGCCAACAGGGGGAAAAAAAAATAATAAAACAAAAAAAAAACCTTGAAACAGATTGAGCGAACTTGTTAAAAATTTGGGTGGCTCTCCTAAGAAAAGATCAGTATGTCCAGTGAAATCGCTTCCCTTTCAAACAAACAAGGGAAAACTAAAAACACATTTGTTCCTTGCAGCAATGGAAGATTTGCATTGAACTGCACACAGAGCCGCTGAGCGTAGCATTGGCATAACAAGCAATCACAGCCCCAACGTAACATGGGCCAGGATTCTGCGGTGCCAAGTCCGGATTCGAGATAACACCTGCAAATGATCGCTGGCAAGCACTGCAGTTGCCCGTGGACCGCTTCCACAAAAACGCCCATGCAGGCTTGCAAGACGTTCGCAACGGCCTAGTCATGTCAACGCACGGTGTCTTCCTAGTCGCGTCCAGCTCCAAACCCCAACTCAGGAGGGTCTCCAACTACACGTGGGTGTGAATTTTAGTTAGGAACCCTGTGGTGGACGCCATTTAGGTGAGGACTTCATGTCCACCAACCACTTTGGAGGTGGTTCCTTATTAAACATCATGGCCGTATGGATGTCAACTACATCTGCAAAGTCAGATTTCTCGACTCGAACTGCAAATTGAAAATCTTAACCCGCGAATCTAAAATGACAACCTTCCGTTGACGGTGTCTACTTCAATCTGCTATGTCACAGTCGCGATGTTGAGTTTGTTGGCCATGTTTGGGAGAAGAACGGGCACACTGTCCATGCGGCCAAACTGTACGCAGCGCAGAAAGGCAGCCAATATCGATGGGCATGTCTCCTTTTAGACATGGACCGAAAAAAGGCGTGGAAGGTTACTGGGACTAAGGCTTGGCTTTGTTGAAGGCCTCTGGGAGCAACAGTTGGGGAGATGTTCGGGCATCGCCCCATTCTTCTTCCTTGGATGCTGAGCCACGCTCAAGCTTTGCAGAGCCCCCCACTTTCCACTGCAGCCCGCCTCGTGTGAGACCAGCCAACAAATGCAAATGCATGCCTCAGTAGGGCCAAACGCACATGCGATATTCCGAGATATTCCGAGGGATCCTGCGATGGACATGTCGTGCGTCCCCACACCCGCCGCGGGTCTCATGGAGTTCCGGTGAGATCCAAGGCAAATTGCACCAACAATAGTTTGTTCTACAGTACTGCCCCAGATTGGCGTAGGCCCTTCCCTGACCAGCCAAGGAATGCATTCAATATGAAAGTGACGCGGCTGCAAACACATCATGTCAGATTGCCTTGACAGCACTGAACATTTTTGTAAAGGCGTCGTCTTCCCCAAAATTGCCATGCTGACTAGATCAACATGTGTGTAGATCCACAATACATCCATACAGGGAACCCCCTCACGGGTATGTGTCAAAACTGAGGAAGCTTAAAATGATTGGTGTCTTTCTGGTTTTCCTCTATCGCAAAAAAGGTACCTTGGACAACCCATCCTCACTACCTGAGTGGATTGCCCAACAGAACGTCCAAACTGTTCTAAAGCGCCAAAATGGTCAAAACCATAGGTGGCCTTTTGGAAAAATAGATCCCCCGGTAAATGGAACAAAACCCATCTAAACCAGTGCCATCTATTTTTAACCAGGCTCACCTAAAAAGGAGACCTATGGTCAAAGCCCAAAAGCTTTTTGCGTCGAGGAACTCAAGAAGCGGCCATGGGTCAAAATCCAAATCGTACCTGCAGTGAACATCCCAATCCCCACTAAAATAGGTTCTAAAATAGGTGAATTCACCGAAAACCCCAAAATGGGATCACCCAAAACGGCTCTGACCACCACAGCCAAGCGAGTTCCACACCCCCAGGCCCATCGAAAAACCAGTGGAACCCATCTATTTGTTTAACCCGGCTCACCGAAAGAGGACACCTATGGTCACGGCTCACCTAAAGAGGACACCTGTGGTCATGGCTCACCGAAAGAGGACACCTGTGGTCAAAACCCGAAAAACAAGTTCAGGTCCAGAAACGAAAGTGAGTTCCACAGCCCACACGCCACCCGCGCCGAGGCCGAGGTGCCGAGCGGTTGTGGCCCGCCTTGCAGTTCACCAGGACGCGCTGATTCCGCGCGCGGCACTTCCCAAGGAAGCTCTCGCAAGCGGGCCAGCCTTCAGCAGGGATCCAGATGCATTCTACACCTTGCAACTTCTAAATGGTGGTGTCCAACTGTATTTTGGTGTTGAAACACCCACATGTTTCAAATGGTTGCAAAAAAGAAATGTATCTTTGAAGGAGCCCTGTTCAGACATGGCGGAAGCAGTCGGCTCGCTATGGGAAGCGCAAGTGGGTCGGGAAGGGGCGACAACCGGAAATCCCATTTTGAAGGCTTGAAGAAAACACGAGGCGCGTCCTTTCAATTTGCTCCCAGACTGAAGCGATTTCTTGGAGGCAAACGCAACATTGAGAGTGGGCTGAATCCATGTTTGACAACCCAAATGAGCCATGTCCTAAACGTGTCATGATTTGCTAAGTCGTATCATTTTGATTACGCCACTAGCTTACGCCACACGCTCGTAGAGTGTTTCCTTACGCGACACATTTGGAGGTTTTGCTTACGCCAATAGCTTAAGCCACCTTACGCACGTGGATTTTTTGCATACGCACAGGTCGATATGACACGACTCTTACTAACCATGTGCACGGAGGTGTTGGACGCCGCTCAAATGGCACGCCATGGCATGCATCTCTGGGCTTTCGCCGGGCAGCATTTCTCCACGATGTCAAAAAACAACCTGTCCTGCACCGCGGTCTCAGCTCGGTCCATACAATTCGCCAAGGAAGTGGGAAGATCTTTCACCCCCTGCGCTGCATGGAAAACCGTCCAAGCCTGATCGCTGCTGGAAAAGAAAAAAGACAAAACACATCTCATCCACTGCCGTCGGACGGGAAAGACCCGTGCACGCTCCCAACTGGATATACATGCAGCCAGCAGAACCATGATCATGAACCAATTCAAACTACCCCCTCCATCGCTGATGTGGAATGAGTCAATTCAAAGGACTTCGATATACTTCTTCACTCATTGCCTCCTGGATCCTAAGATCCCGGTGTCTCTCAGGCAAGGGCAGACTTACAACCGCGGCCATTGCCGATTGCCATTCCATGATTGTCACTAAAAAACCCGAATACGTTGGATGTTTTTGCGTCATATTGCAAGCCAACCAACCACAAACCATGCTTGAATTTACGATTCCCTTGTTCCACTGCAACATTTGGGGCCGGATCCAGGGCAGGCTACGTCGTTTTGTATGGTGCCAAAGTGACGCCAAAAGGATACCCATCAGGTCAAGATCTGAAGCCTTTGGAAGAAAACCCTATAAAACATGTTGTGTTCTCTCTTGGATACAATCGCTGGCCCTGGAAAATAAAAAGCACCATCTAAACCAGTGCCGATTTCAAATGTCTATTGAAACTAACCTGAAAAGGACGCCCATGCTTCGGAATCTCGATCCGTCCCTCCTTCAACATGCTTGACACTTGATTTCACTCCGTCGACGCATCGAATCCGGGTCCTCGGAATCCACTTCCTTGAACTCCACGTGGTTGGAAGAGTACAGCGCCGCGAAATCCGCAACCTAGGCACGTTGCTTGTGAAATGCCCCAAAAATGCCACCGACCTCTGTCTGTACAAGATCCAAGTTTTTTCTGAGAACCCTGGGTCTGCCACCCGGGTTTCGCCTGTTCAGGCAACCTCAAACCTCTCAGACATTTTTCGGTCAGGCAACATCCAAAAACCGTTCGGCAGAAGCGAGTGCAATTCACTCGGTGCGTAATGAGTCCGACACAATAGCTCCGCAGAAAGCTGGCCGTCACCAAATAGCCACTATGATAGTGGCTATTTGGTGGTGGCTCAGCCCATGGATTCTGCTAGTGCTTTGGGGGTGGGCATCTTAGTTTCAGAGGCCCCATATCAAAGAGCAACCAGACTTTTGACAGGCGTCTGACCCATTTCGACAGAGGTACAAACTTTGATGGCCAGCACAGGGATGCAATGGGGTGGGATCGAAACAATTTAGGCTGGCACTGACCAAGTTTACCTTCTTGCAAGCATGGCGATGGCCTTTTCTCGGTTGTTTTCTGCTCCCCTTCTAAAAGTTTAGCTTTTAGTGGTTTAATGGAAAACCCTTTAGGTGGCAAACAGTTAAAGTCCTAACATCCAAGCAAAATGCAGCAAAGCTTTTCACGGCTCGCCTCAGGAAGACGGGAGCTCAGCTCCCACCAGTTGATGAGGTTCAGCACCGCGCCGATGCCCCGATTGCTCAGCAGCTCGAAGTCCGTGGCCTCATCGAAGCGCCGCGCCGGGCGTTGGGTTTGTCTCCAAACATTTCTTGCTGGCTTCCATTTGGTTAAGAACCCCCAGGAAAAAAAAAGAAAAAAACAAACAGTAGTGAGAAATTATTTTGGAACCAACAAGGGAACATTAAAAAAAAATCAAAAGAGAAAAAGAAAAAGGAAGAGACATTTCTTGCTGGTGCGATGGGCAGGGAATGAGACACGGAATGACCCCTATAAATCTAGGAGCTGATTCCATTTCTATTCTTTTCAACCATCGTTCTTTTCAAGAACCGACTGCTTCCCCTGGGTGTTTGATGGTTTCCTGAAAAGAAGAATCCCTGGAAAGAATGGGGAAGGCGACCCCTAGAACAAACCATCCCTAGTTTCCTGTAAGGGGACCCCCGGGTTCATTCCCTTCCCTACTGAGCACCAAGGTTTGAAACCAAAAGCCCTGGTTAGCAGGGTTTCTTACAAGGGATTGGTAGAAACGTGTCTTACAAAATGCTTGGAAAGGGTAACAAGAAATTCTTAGAAGGGTTTCGTCGAGTTCTTGGAAGGGATTCTGAGGATTAGTTGGAACTCAGTCTAGGGGGTGTTGGGATGTTAACTCCGAAGCCTTGAATTGTTCCTGGACACACCTTCACACCTAAGTCCTTTCATCATGGCCATGTTTGTTTGTGCAAGTTTACCCTTTTCAGGTTTGTTCTTCTTCATTTTGTTTAACGGAAGAACCAAAGGACACCATCCCTTTTGCTGTTTGCCCATTTTCACTCGCAAGGTGAAAGGTGCGAAAAAGCCCACGAGCCGACGCTTTTTCGCATTCCTGGCGTACCTCTGAGCGCGCCTCTTTTAGATCGCCCAGGTACATCCAATCCAGGACTCGCGCAGGCTGTTCGCCTGGCTTCCAGTACTTCCAGGAGACCTGAGCCCAGCGACTCTACTCGGAACTAGACATGCTAGGCTTCAGGCATCTAAGCCTTCTAAGCCAGTTCTTGACCTCAGGAACCAAAAACCGGTTCCTAAGTGAGTGGATTGGCCAAACAAAGGTAAAAAACCACATATGGCCATGGATCAAAATCCGAAGCCCGTACCTTCAGTGAACATCCGATTCAATCCCCCACCAAAATAGGTTCTAAAATGGGTGGTGAATTCACCTACCAACCAAAATGGTACCATTGGTTTTGACACACAGCCATACGTTTTACAAAATGCATCGAAAGCTCCAGCTCATGAACAACTGCAGCATCGCTGATTTAGGAACCTTTGCAAATGGGTGGGTGGCTCATAAAGGTTGGCTGGTGTTGACCGAAGAAAAAAGCGGAATGATAGTCCAGCAACCCAAAATGCAGGTTGTGTTCCAACCCATCCGGGCTCTCAAAATCTGAGACATTCTCAGAATCTCGACGCTGCGTCTCCTTTTGTAAGCCACGGCCAAAACGGGAACCCTCCAAACCTGGGCTGCCCGTTTTCGGATCCGAAAACGAAGTGACGAACTTTCAGTGGGCTCAATGGAAACTACCTCGAGCCACGAGAAAAGGCTCTTAGAGGCTAAGGGAACCGGATGGCCTTCGGGAGCCAAGGAATTTCAAGCCCCCTGGAAAAAAAAAATCCGGTCATGATAGATTCCCTTTAAAAAAGCCAACAGGGGGAAAGACAAAGAAAACAACTTAAAACCAAATGGAACCCATTTGGAAGTTCCAACCTACCGGGCCACGTTGTCCAGGACCTTGGAAAGCTGGTCCAGGCCCTTCTGCTCCTCGCGTTGCGCTTCAGCCGCGGGACCCCGTAACTTGCGGCTGAGGGAATCCCATCCATAGGTGTCCTTTTGGAGAAATGGATGGGGTTTCCCTGGTGAATGGGAAAAAAAAACGCCCGAATCTAAACCGTTGGAACCCTTCTATTGACCACACTAACCGATCAAGAGACACCTATCCCGAGAAGGAAACCAGAGGGGATGGCGTCAAGGCTTCATTCCACTTCTTATTCCCTGCCGAGAACGCACCAGCAAGTTGTACACTCGGGGGATCTCAAATCCTTGGTTGGGCTGAAGGGTTGAAAGGAGGCCCAAGCAAACCACCAGTCCTGTTGGACAGATATGACAAAACACCCAGTGTCCAATCGTTTGTGCTTGCTTTCAAAGGGTAGAACAAATCATGGGGGTAGCCATGTATTTTTGTTGGCAAATAAGTTTGCAGAATCAAATGCACCTCCTGAGTATGCAAGCAATAGGCTCACATGTACTGAGCGAATGTGCATGTCTGCCCCAGCCCCAAGATAAACTGTGCCTGTTGAATCACAGTCACACATATTGGCCAATCTCACACTATCAAACTAGTTGTCTAAATGAAGCTGGACAAAGACTAATATAGCACAGTAGTTCAGCCATCCTGCAAGCGTGTGGCCCGCCTCTTCGCAACGACTACAAACAAAAGAATACACCTGGAAACAAACCAAACAAAGTGACTCAAGAGAGGAGCAGCCTGATAACTACACAAGGCACATCACACTAAAATCAACAACAACTAAACAAATGGGCTGATATGCGTGCTTGAACCACACACTTGAAACACGGAATCCAGTAATACAGCTTCATCATGGCGCCAAGCTTCTTTCAGCCTCGTCTGAAGTTGCCACAATGGGTCCCAAACGCAATTACACGAAAACTGTCTTTCTTCGACAATGCTTCGCATGGGCACAGGATTGAGTGACTCACTGACGTGCACCTTTGGTGTAGAGCGTATTTTATCAGCGCGCACTTTCCTTTAACTCAAACCCAAGGTGCCCAGTCTTGCCAATCAGCGACCTTCATGGGTGGGTCACAACAGCTGCCTGGAAAAATAATGATACTAGTAGCTCCTTCAATATGGATCCTTTGCTGCTACAAATGCACGATGACTGAAATATGCAAACAAAGCCATAATTGCACTTGTCTTTCAAACATGCCTGAGCAAAACAAAACTCCGTTGCCCGTTTCAAAGTGACTTGATTGCCCCAGCGCGGCATTGATTCATCAATGAGCAAATCACACCTGCACCTGCAACCAAGGAACAAAAACAAAGAACCTTCATCCGTGAAATCATTTGGTGGCCAGCCGCTCCCTCGCTATCCACGCACAACCAACACCCACCACACCCACCACACAAACACACCAAAAAACACAGAGAGACACACAAACACCACGTCCCCAGTGCCTCCTCCGAGGGGGCCAACAGCGCCTCGTCCTCTCGTCGGAGGCAGCTGCGGCAAAGCAGCCTGGGAGGCGAAGAGCTTCAGGGAAGGATTCTCGGCTGCGAAATCTGCTCCGTTAAACGCTTAACTTTTAGTGGCTCAATGGAAAACCCACTAGTTGGCAAAAAGTTGAAGTGCTAACATCCAACATGCAACAAAGCATTGGCGCGTGTTGCTTGGCTCAGATGGTCGGTCCCATGCCAACTCACTGCAATACATACTGGCTATGTTCATTGAGCGTTGCTGGAGATGACATGGCTTCAAATAGATCATAGTTCTGTCGACATACAACACAACCACACATCATTGAAAAGCGCACGTCGACCTTGCATAATCAAATAGATCCTTCAGCCATTTGAACACAGACATAGAAAACACACATACAACCAAACTATACAAACAACTAAAACACAAGCAACTAAACCAACGGACAAACTAACAAACAAACAAACATTGCAAGACGTGGGCACCTAACCCCGCGAACAATTCATCACACACAAACACACAAACTCACAAACACACAAACACACAATCTTACAACGCAACCAACTGACAAAGAAAAGAACCACAAACAAACAAACAAACAAACAAACAAACAAACAAGAAAGCAAGCAAGCAAGCAAGCAAGCAAGCAAACAAAAACACAAACACAAAAAACACACAAACAAGCAAACAAGCAAACAAGCAAACAAGCAAACAAGCAAGCAAGCAAACAAGCAAGCAAGCAAGCAAGCAAGCAAGCAAGCAAGCAAGCAAGCAAGCAAGCAAGCAAGCAAGCAAGCAAGCAAGCAAGCAAGCAAAGCAGCAACACAACAACATGAACCACACAGGCAAACCGCACAAGCAACACAAACAAAACACAAGACAATACAAACCACACCAAAACAAAGCAATCAAAAAAAACCATACAAGCAAGCCAAACCAAACCAAACCAAACAACGCACGCACCAACAAAAACAACAACTCCAAACAAACCACCCCAAACCTCTCCAACAAACAAACAAACAAGCAAACAAACAAACAAACAAACAAACAAACACATCAACACAAACAAAACAAGCCAAAGCGACCCAAACAAAGCACACAAAACCTCAAACACACAACACAAAGCAAACAACATAGAAGAACCCAAACAAACAAACAAACAAAAAAACAAACAAAGCAAAGCCAACAAAACAAAACAAAACAACCCAAACACAGACCACAAAACCACCCAAACAAGCAAACAAACCAACCAACCAACCAACAAACGAACAAACAAACAAACAAACAACACAACACAACACAGCACAACACAAAGCAAACAACACAAAGCAAACAACCCAAACACAGAACACAAAACCACCCAAACAAACAAGCAAACAAACCAACCAACAAACAAACAAACAACCAACACAACACAACACAACACAACACAACACAACACAACACAACACAAGCAAACAACACAAAGCAAACAACATAGAACAACACACAAAAAAAGCAAAGCAAACAAAACAAAACAACACACCTCAAACAAAGCTAACAAAACAAAACAAAACAATCTAAACAAAGAACAGAAAACCACGCAAACAAACAAACAACACAAAGCAAAACAACAAACGCTTTTTGTTGCCAAGGGGCTTCCCGTGAGCGCCCTGGGCGAACTCATCTGCCTGCCCCTGGCAGCCCTCGCAAATGTGCACCTGGCTGCGTTGCGCGCAAAGGAGATAACTAGGCTGGAATTAGGACCCCAGCAAAAAAACATCTTTTTTGCCTGGTTTGTGGAAAACAAAGGGAACCCCAAATCAAAAAGGGAAACTAGTTCTGGGGAAGATAAGCTGATTCTGCCTACCCAGAGGCTCGATGTTTTTGGGGCCCTCAAACAGCCAGGTTTTGACCTCCGGGGTGTCTAAATGGAGGGGTTGGGTCTTCCATTTAAAGCCCGAGGAGCCTCTGGGTATGGGGCCGGTCCCCAACACCAACCCCAATAAGGGTATCTCCCAGGGTGGAAGTACATACCCTTTGTTCATAGCCTTTGCTTCTCTGGTTTCCAACCCACTTTATAAGGGGTGTATACCCCTGTTGGAGAGAGGGGTGTGAACATCAGCAGGCCTTTTGGGCTCATTTGCCCAAGGGGTATGTAAAGGGGGTATGTACAAGCACCCCTGGAGTATCATAAACAAAGTGACACCCAGCTTGGGCTGATTCCAAATCTTGACCTTCCCTGTGCCTCCCGAGGGAAACATGCACCAACTAATGGACCAAGTCTTTGTTGGCTGGCGCCATGTTGGGAATCAAACACTGATGGCTTCGTTCATTCCAGCATGTGAATTATGGAGTGCCAATACATTGGTCACGACACCCATAGAAACCGACACTAATTAGGAAACATGACAACTGGCGCTGTGCGGTAAACAAACATGTCGAGATTCCCCGCGGAAAGTCCCTGTGATCCTTCCTATCGGATTCGATGGGCATGGGTCCTCTCCTTGGAGGGGCCCAGATGCAATCCAAGACCTTTTTGCGTGCAGGCCCCCCTGGTCGTGAAAAAACAACTGCAACAGCGCCCGTAACCCAACGCGAAACGAAATGCATCAGCGAGAACAAAAGAGTCCTGCTTATGCTTAGTTGGCTTGCCAGAGCCAAACTTATACCAAGCACAAAAGGGTTCCTCACTTGACCAGTGACCGCCAAATATAAGTGTGCATTTTTGGGCCACCACTCGTAAAAAGGGAGAGCCACCAAGGAAAAAAGTGTCAAGCGTGTGTCCACTGGCTGAGCGAGGTTCTTGCAGGTCAAAACCTAAAAGGCGTATCTTTGGTGTGGCGATTAAAGGGGTCGATCGAATCAAGTTGGAACTTTGTCCTGCAATCTTTGAGCAAACAACCTGTCCATTGCTTGCGTCCTTCGCAAAAACAACTCAAAAAATGCTCGGTAGTGATAGATTCCCTTTAAAACCAAGAGGGGAAAATACGACCAATCTTCTCAAACCCAGTTCTGGCTGGGTTGTTGGGGACACCAAAAGGAAGACCACCATTTTGGGGGGACTCAGTCCCCGGACCCAAAATGGAAGCCATCGGTTCCGGCCTTTGGCAGCGTCTGTGCTGAGGCGCAGGCAGGCGGTCCTGCCGTCGTCAATAGCTTAGGCTCGGGGAAAGAAATCCTACAGTTCCCACAAAGAAATGGATGTCTGTTTTTAGGTTAACCACCCCCCAAAACCTTATGTGTGTATGTATTGTCTATATAGAGATAGATACCTACCATTGTGGTTTTCCGTTTGGTTGTCCTTTGCAACCACCAAAAAGGGGTGCCCTCAAAAACAGACACCCCCTAAATCGCACCTCTGGGAGGATACCTGAAGATGAGTTTCCTCAAGGAACCCCCTAGGTCCTATGTGGGAGGAAGGGTTTAGTAACTGGGCCTCGGTGTGTGTGTTTTGAGGGTATCCCCTTTTGGTTGGCTTGAAAGGCGGGGGACCCAAAGACCCGAATGGCCCGAAGTGGTTAGTGCCTCTTTGGTTTCCCTTGAAACACCCTGGAAAAGGGTACACTTCAGTGCCAGCAATGCTTGACAGAAAATGCCTGTCCCGTCCAGCATTTTTGCTCAAAACATTTGCCCGCGAAAAAGCCGCACCGGTTCCAGGCAACTGAACTGTTGTGGGCATGCGCGCCATGGTCAAAACATTCCACGTTGCGTGACCAACCAAAAGGGAAAAAAGGGGCTGGAATCTTATGAACGAAACATGTGTTGGCTCAAAGGTGAAAAACATGTCAGAACAAAAATGTAAGTATTCTGTGTCCGTACTGCTTGGCAGTCGAGAACAGACCCCCATAAAGGGAAACACATTCTACACAGGAGCGAAACGTGCGAGTTGCGGAGAAAGTGCCACGCATGGGCGGTGTCATTTTCCAGATTACATAAGTATGCTTTGGGGGGTCACGATTTGGGAGAGCAAATCGAACGCCATGTCAGCATGTTGGCTTCGAATCCTTTTCTGGTGTCAACGAACAGGCGAAAAGTTACATTCCAGGCAAATCATACCAACAAACTGCCTGTCTTGCTGCACACTTCTGCATTCATCCAAGAGCTTGCAAACTTTAAAGGCAACGCAACACTACAAGGGCTGGGTGAAGTGCCGGAAATGACAGGGCAAGCTTTTGGAACGCTAAGTGTCGACACATACGCGAAAGGTAACATAGATCAAAGATGAGAAAGCAAGACCTCGCATTCAGTTGGCTTTGAACGACTGCTCGCTTCCTGAGTGAGTTGGCCAAAAAAAGTCCAAACTTTCTGCTTGCCACTAAAATGGTCTTCCCAACAAGTTTAAAGTCCATGAACTCAGGGAGTGAGACTGATGGTTGTGCTACAGAAATTGGGGCCCGCCTCCACTCTCCGCCCTGAGTGTCTTCACAAAGGCCACACAGCTCTTCAAGCTCTCAGAGCACGATGCGCCCATGGCGAAGACAAAGGGCCCGTTTCTCGCGGCCGCTTGGAAAAAAGGCCGGGCTGGGCCGGGATGGGCCGGGATGGGCCGGGATGGGCCGGGATGGCCTAGATCTGGGGGTGGGAGCTGGGAGGCTTGATCGAGACGAAAGGAACAGTCCGGCTAAAGAGGTTGAAAGGGAGGCCGTGCACGGCACGGCTCGCATGAAAAGTGTCAACGCTCTGGAAAACTGGAGGCTGGATCCATAGACCGTGCAGAACATCTTCAGCATTCGACCCACATGGTGCATGGGAGTTCTGGCAGCCAGGTATGAGCCAAGCAGTCAACAAAGCTCTCTCTCCCTCTCTTCTCTGCATCCATTACCTTTTATCTAAGCCCTTGAAGCCACTGCAAGATGTTTCTAGGGCGAGTCATCTTTTCACCTGGTCCTGTTCTGACCTGTTTATGGCCCGCGCGTCTGTCCGACTCAGGCTTTCCAGTTGCTGAGATCGTTGAACTGCACGATCGGACTGCTGCTGCGGTTGTTTGATTTTCTCAGCTTGCTACTCAGACTCAAGAAGTGAAACACACACACACACACACACAGGACACCCCCCAGTTCATCAACCAGGTGCTGGTTGATTCTGGAGTCCGACATCCTCCCAAAAACCTCCTTAATAACAATAAGTGTGCTGCTCACAGGTCCCGATTGGCTGGCAGAAAGGCACATTCATGCACGCAGAAACGCAAGGCCAACAAAGCAATGTTGTTCCTTACTACTGTGCAACAAGCCCGTTGGCCTTGCCATTGACCACTTCACAGGTAAATATAGCAGGTCAGGTCTGAAGTTTCAAGATCCATGCAATGTCAAAAACTGGCTTGCCGGTGACTGGCCGAAGACACATTCAAATGTACGGTGCTTTGCAAGAACATAAGTAAAATGAACTGGTCAAAGTATATGAAGCGGTATCAAGTCAGCAAGTAAGCCATCAACAGTAGGAACAAACACACATTGTTTTGCAGCTTGAACTCTAAGCTGAGCAACGCTTTCTTGCTCTGCCTGTGTCGTCTCGGTCGAGTCTCTGAGCTGGCATTGAAGTCATCAACATGGCAGTGGCTCAAAATTTGTTGACCGCCACATTCTAGTTGGCAGGTTGGCCGTTTTTTCCGTTTTTGTTTCTTCATATTTTTTGCCCAAAAAGGCTCACTAGCGTCATGAATCTTGAGCCATCTGTCGCCTTCGGCTTCTCGTTCCCCCAGAGCGCCCCCCAACAAGGGGGTGACAGGATGAATCGGGCAACCCGGCGGACAATTCTTGTAAACAACTGGCCCACAAGGCCTCAATAGTCCATGCCACGTGAGCAGGGCGGCAAACGCTAGGGAACAGGGAGGCAGCCTGGTAAGCCACTGTCCAGCACTGGCAAATCGTTCTCCCAGAATGATATCTCACGTCATCCATGGGTGTTCAGCTGGCTCTTCAACAATCTGGTTCAAACTGCTCCCGTATCCAAACAATGAAGGCAATCGAGAAACCCTTGCCTTATCTTAGAAGAAACACATTGAAGGAATACGCAAAGCGTCCAGGTGCTATTCTTGAGGAATGCACTTGACTAGGGCTGGTCCCGCATCAATTGCTTTGATCTAATTTGAGAAACCCCAGCATACCTTTGCGACAAAACAACTCGCCATGGGTCCTTCGTTGACAGTTCACCTGCTTGGTACGTCCACTATGATCCGATGAGGCACCTTGCCGCCTCGAAATCATCCCTCCCACAGTTCCAAAAGCAGCGACTCTGCGAGGATGCAGCGACGCCAGTTGAAATCCATCGAAGCCAAACCTCTCCAACAAAACCATAACATGGATCGCACGGGCCATGTCATGTTGATAGGAAGCTACTAACTCGTGATGCTGACAGTGTGGCTCACGTCGGAAGCAGCATACGAACCATTTAGGAGTCTGCAGCCTCCTCCCAGCGCAAGTCCCGCGCTCAATTCGACTCCCATTGCACGTCCCCAGAGGTCACCGGCAACCAGCGGCAAGGGAAACACAAGACCGCATGTGAGCCGTGAATTTTGGAGCTGGGCAGTTGAGTCCGGAGGCTCCCGTGGAACCTCGAAGGTATCATGCAATGCAAGTCACTGATTAAAATGAATCGACAAGCCAACCGAGCACGAATATTGCTTCTGCTCAGCTGAAGTGTTGATGAGGGCTGAGAGAAACGTAGCAAAGCTTTACACAGATTCCTTCCTCCTTAAGCCCTGATTGCCTCGATTCGTCTGCTCTGGTCTTGGAGCTTGCCTTAGGGGGAAGGCACCAGCTGAAACCGCCGCAGTTGAACGAGTCGCACACTGTGCATTGTTGCACCGTTAGAATAGACTGCCGGTAGCTTGTAGATGGATATATACCCAACTGACAGGAGTGTTGCCAATGTCGAGGCTCTCCCAGCAGTCTGCCGGTGCTATCAGAGAGCCCCACCTTGCTTTGATGCCATAATCAGGAAAACCGGAGTTGATCACGCACAAGAAACCATCACGGCTGGTACTGTACTCGTAGACCATCGTTTCAAATGCCAGTGTTGGGGAAAATCCCAGGTCAAAATGACCACCCTGCAAACATTTGCAAAAAAAGGGGTTACGTTGGCCACGGCCATTCAATAGCATTAACATTCCGTCGCGGGTTGCCATGTACCAACTTCTCAACAACTGTTCTGCATTCAGAACCGAAGGAAGCGCAATGCTCCTCAGCCCTCCAGTCCCCTCATGTGAGATGGAGCTTTCAACAAGCAGCAAGGCTGCCAAGTGTGACAGCGAGTGCGAAAACAAGTGTGGTATTGCATTGCACGCGATGGACAAATTGAATCTAGAAGGACATTGAAAAACTGGTCTTGGCCTTTTGTTGCCTCTTGCTTTGTGGTGTCTGGTGTATGGATAAATTGGACGGTGAGCCTACTCCTTCCCCCAAGCCAATCATTGATGCCATCACGTGTACGACTGCTGCGCCCAGTTGACCAAAAGAGTTGCTATGACAGTGTGCTAGTACCTCTTCAGAAGCAACCTCTGGCTCCATCCACCGTCCAAAAGTCCTAGGAACGAGGCATGTACACCTGCAGGTCCGCTCTAGTCAACTGACACTTCATAAACTAGCTTAACATGCGAAAAGAACAGGACTCAAGACTGCTCGTGAGCACATTTCACACTCTGCTGCCACACCCCTGCCACACCAAAATTGGGAGCATCGATGCTGCCAAGCTGGTTTGGGCACATGCATGGGTATTTGGGCACCGGCCCAAGGGTTTATTGCATGGCCACAGGGGGGAGGTGTGGCTATGAAAGCCATCTGTTTTGCTGCAACAAACCCCTATAACGGTCAGAGCCGGGGGCAATTCTGAATGGGGGAAACGCTGCCAAACACGCTCATGAACGGACGTTTCAAGCTGCCGTACGCCTGTGGCCAGTGCCAACAACCAGTGGGTCAAATTCTGTCACGCTCTGAAGTCAAAAGTACCTTCCCCCAGGCTAGCACGGAAGCTCCCAGGACCCCTTTGGAAGACTAGGTTCCACTTACAAAGGCCTTCTGGGAGCTTCCATGTTAGTCTGAGCGAGTGTACCTTTCTTGGACTCTCAGGAAGCCGAAAGCCGCCGAGGGCGCAATCTGGCAGGTGCCCACAGCTTAAACACAGCTGGCAACCACCCCAAAAGAACACAGCTCCTTCGAGCTGTTTCTGGAAGCCCAAATCGGGGGGAGAAAAAAGCGATTGCCTGCTCAGGGGCCCTGAGTTGCAAAACAAACATCCTCGCAGAGCTGGCGCCATCTACAAAAAGAACTGCTAGTTCCAAAACCTGAAATCAAGGATCCCGAAGGACCTACATCATGGAAAGCCATAAAATAGATCGCGTGGGACGAAGACGTGGCGCCATTCGAGGTCTGGAGCACTATCATCATCATCCCCTTGGGCGATGTCTATACTCCAACCATCCGTTTTTAGTACCACACAACAGGCACTTTGACCCTGGAGCACCTCGTCCTGCTGTAAAAGCCAGACAGTCTGAGCCACAATCCAGGAAACCTGGATGCGGTGGTTGGTATTGAATATGCAAATGTCAAATATTGCTGCGGGAATCCCGTGGTCTCAAGCTAAATTGATCAGAAATTAGAGAAAGACCTTGATGTCAGACATCTCCCTCCTTATAAATTCAGACTCTTTATGTTGGATATTAACTATGGTTCTTTCATATTGTCTATGATTGAAGTTGTAAAAACAATTTGATTCCTCTCTATTTAGTATTATACAATTTTTCAAAGTCTGCTCTAAGCTCCAAAACCGCACATCAGTACCAACAAACGCTGAGATTGCGCTTTGGTGGAAGCATGCATTGCCTCCCCCCCCCTCTCCCCCGACTGAGAACTCCACCATGCGCCAGCAAAAGCCGCGCAAAGACGCGGCACAACGGCGAGTCCTGCGCTAAGAGTGTCACCCAGACTTAGCAGCAGCTGGTTTGCGAATAGACGGAATCATTCAACGACGCTGCCAATAAAATCGACAACGACAACAACCATACGACAATGGCAACGACAATAGCAACCACCAGAACGACAACAGCCACAGAGACAGCCACAGCCACAGAAAAGCCACCACCGGCACCAGCACCACCAGCACCACCAGCACCAGCACCACCAGCACCACCAGCACCACCACCAGCACCACAAGCACTAGAAACTGCCAACAACGCCACCAAAGCCAACAGCCACAGCGACGCAAAACCATCAGCAGCAACAGCACCACCAGCACCACCCACTGCCGACACAACAACACCAACACCAACACCACCACCACCAGCAGCAGCAACAGCAACGGCCAAAGCAACAGCAACAGCAACAGCAACAACAGCAACAACAGCAACAGCATCAGCATCATCATCATCATCATCAACAACAACAACCACCACCACCACCACCACCACCACCAACAACAACAACCACAACGACGATGACAATGACGACAACGATGACGACAACCAACAAGAACAAGAACAAGAACAAGAACAAGAACAAGAACAAGAACCACAACCACAACCACAACCACAACCACAACCACAACCACAACAACAACAA